CACGGGGATGTGCGTGGGTGCGTTGCGTGGGGGAGGGGGTGGGTGATTTGTTGGTTCGAAGGCCCTGCTGCTGCTCGCTGCCGCTGTCTCTCAAGGTTGGGGGCAGGGGGTGGAGAGAGGCTGCCCGCCTCCGCCTGCTCCTGCTCCGCCCCCCGACACAGCTCCGTCCAGGCTCTTGGGCTCCAGGGAGGGAAAGAGAGCCTCTGGTCTCTCGACGCAGCCTTTGCCCGCTTGCACGGCAGCAGCGTAACGCCGCGCTGGGAGAAAATCGACGGAAAATGTGACATTGTTGCCGAGGTGGACGAGATGCTCGGATTCAAGTCGTTTCGTCCTTGTCACACCCCACACGGGAGAGCACAGCGAGAGCGAGCGAGAGGCCGTCGGCCTGCGCGCGGGGTGGCAGGACAGCCGACAGCCAGGCAGGCAGGCGGGCACGGGGTCCAGAGCCGGGCATGCGCAGAACGGCTTTGCACATCGCTCAGCGCGTCAGCGGGGATGCAAACAATACAATGATGCGGCCAGGGCGATCTCTCGGCCTTCATAGACAAGAAAGCAGCCGAATTATCTCGCACCAGAGAGGGAGAGGGTCGTCGGCCACCACTACTCCTCTGACTTCCTGTCTCTCGTCCCCCCGTGCAAGTTCGCAAGGAGACCAGAAAAAGGGGCTGTTCTGCACTCTGGCTTTTATCGGTGATGTTTCTCTTCATTATACTCTTCACTAGTGGCATGCATGCAGGACTCCCGATCTTATCAGGAGTCTTTGTTTTGATTGCTACCCCTCCCCAGCTCGTACTCGTAAGCCCCGCTACTGAAGGCAAATTGATCGAGGTGTCTTAATACTCACTGGCATTCGTTCATGATCTCCTCTTGCGTCCGCACCTGCACCGGGGCCAGCTTCTCCACGGATTCGTCGAAGTTGCAAAAGCACTTGGTGATCTTGTCGTCGAAAGTGTTGACCAGGTCCTCCAGGGAACCGGAGAAGGACTCGGCCAGGAAGTTATCCTCGCCGCCGTCCCCGTTGACGCTGATGCCGTTGAGAAGGGTCGTCGCGTTGGTCGTGTGGTTATCATGCTGCCGACACTGCGCTGCGTTGTCCACCTGCTGGTTGTCGACCGCCACAATCGTGCTGTTGTCGATCACATTGTCGTCGACCTGGTGCAGGAGCAGGTGTTCGGGGCTGCGCGTGCCGCCGTTCAGGAGGTTGTTGTGGTGGTTGTGGTGCAGGGGACTGTTGGAGTTGCGGACGTCGTCGTGCAGGTCGGCCAGCACGCCGACCCCGCCGCCCCCCGTCTTGCTGAACTCGATGGACCCCCAGTCCTCGGCCTCCTCGAACTGCGCGAGCGGGGCCTCGAACTTGAGTTCGCCCACGGCCATCTTATCGCCGATCCCCGAGTCCCTCATGGTGCCCAGCACGGGGGCCGTCGCGGCGATGCTCGCCAGGCCGACGACGCTGCTCGCACTGACGCACGCCCCGCTGCACGCCCCGCCCCGCCTCGCACGCACGGCACACGATGTGCTCGATGCACGCACGCCTCCAGGAGGCACGACGCGACGCTCCCTCTGCCCTGCTTGTGGCTGCGTTAGCCTCGCACTGAGGGGCTCGGCTCGGCTTCGGCTTTGCCCGGGGCTCGGCTCGGTCGGGTGCTGGTTCGGGTCCTCGACTCCCGCGCTGCCGATCGCTCCGCCGCTCCCCAGCCGCGCGGCTGTCTCCGCGCCGCGGTCCAGCCGACTCTCTCACGCGACGCCGCCTGCCACCGCCGCGGCCAGCAGGAGACTGCGACGCAACTCGCGCCTCTCGGACGCAGCCCCGGGCGCGGGGAGGGAATGCGATGCAGCGGTGTCGGCGCCGGCGGCCAACGCGACTTCGGCTCCCCTTCGGGATCCTTTCGGCTGGAGGGCTGAGGAGAGCGAAGCGGCGGCGGCCGAGCGGCGCGTCGTCTGCTTGTGGTCTTGTTTTCGCGTCCTCTCTGTCTCGCTCGCTAGGTTTCCGCCTCGGCGGACCCGTCTCTGTCTTTCGCCTTGGACGCGGATCGATCCCTACCCATTCCGTTTCACCCCCACCCCCCCCCACCCCACCCCGCTCACGGGCCCACTCCCCTCGGCACCCCATCCTTCCCTACTACCCCGCTAAATATTGATCGCCTCCCTGCCTCCCTTCGTTGGTGTACCCTGTGTACCCTTCCCTCGGTCCTGGTTGGGGGAGGGGGGTAGGGGGCACTTCTTCTTTGTGTCCCTCGCACCGCTAGTGTGGGGTACTTTGTCGCGGTACAGGAGGTGTAAAACCGGCGTATGGGGTGGATGAACAAGCTGCATGCACGCATCGCTGAAAAAAATAGATTCGGAGAAAATTTTCGAAACCGTCATTTACACAAAGTCCGTTGTTTACTTGCCCTGCACATTTAAAATCACAGATTTTAAAAATGAGACTGTTTGTTTGTTTTTATTTCCAACTACTGTTAAAGACTAACAACTTGTTTTTTTTAAAAATCCGAAACATTTTGAAGGTGGGGCGGCAAGTTTCCATATTAGCATGAAGGCAGGCTAGGCATTCCTACTATGTTCAGAGAATATCTCGCCATCGTTATGAAAATATTATATGCCAATGCGTAAATTGCCCTGTAATTTGATATATGAACGAGTCCAAAATATGTTTCGCCAAGTGAAAATTTCGCGCTTTGGTTCCAAATTGCGTTGGTTTTTTTTTCATGCTGGCTACAGTAAACTGTTTCAAAAGACGCAGGTCTACAAATTTTCTCCGCTGGTTTTTATCGAAATTCAGTTAATGTCACAACATAATATTGTCAAATCAAATTCTGTTCCATACCCAAAGGACAATAGAGAGAAGTTTCGTTTCGTCGAAAGTATGGTGCACTCCCTTTCTCAACAAGTTGACCAATCAGATAAGTCAGCAATGTTGGTACGTCATAGAGCATCCCCAGAAGGCTCGGACCCACTCCATTTAACTGTGTTGTGTTGTGATACTATGTAACGTTTGCTTCGCATCCATTCGCAACGTCGACAGCTCTGGACAGTTATCACAAGGCATCACTCGTTGAATGAATGATTAACGAATGAAAAACGATGGTTTTTACCTGGGGCGATTTAGAGAAGTGTTTGGGCGATATCCGGGACCAGGGCAGAGTGGCAAGGGAATCTTATGACCAAGAATTTGATGTAAGAGCAAGATCATATTTTATTTTATTACAAATTTGTCCATCTGTAATTTTTGCTGCTTTCCTTATGTTCTTTTAGATATCAATAAATATGGAATATGTTGATACTTTTGCACATTTTAGCTTCATCATGATCATCTGAATGCAGCTTTGGAAGAAGTAAAGAATGGAACAGCTCAGCGTCGAGGTCCATTAGTTTCTAAAACCCCAGGAAAGAAGAAGGCTCCTTTGACAACAGTTTCTGAAAATGCACCATCGACATCAATCCTCGGTAGATGTTCAACATTTTTAATCCTCACTCTATTGTTTGTGTGCATATTTTTATTTGTTCAAATGGCCAGATACAAAACAGTTAGTCATACTACTTTGCATTGCTCATTTTCATTATTTTGTGTTACTGGTATTGAGAGGTATTTAGTGTGGTGTAGACGAGTCTAGAAATAGGGACATATGAAAATGATCATGTCCATCCGGTTTGCTCTTTCAGCAGCTGACAGACTCATATCACAATGTCCTCATGCTTCACTGGTCTTACCACTCTGAAAAGCACCTTATTATTTTGTCCCTTATCTGATGATGTCTCAGCCAGATATTTTATTTATTTATTTGCAGATGATGAACAACTTATTGAATGCAGCTCTGAAGTTAAGGTATTTGTAGTTTATCTTCTCCACCACCTGTTTGTCTCTTCAGATGGATCAATTGACATTGCTGACTTTTCTTCTAGGTTGTCAAAAGAGGACGGGGACGGCCTAAAAAGGTTCCTTCGGTGTCTTATAATAAACGAATAAGTGTGAGTTTATTGACATTGGGTGAAATACACTTCTCTAATCTTCTTTCATTACTTTTTCCTCTTCTTGGTTTCCAGGAAGACCAGATTGAGTCAACATCCAAACGCATTTGTGCTACTTCAACCATAAGTACGGATAGCGGTTTATCAACTGGAAGTCAGAATATGTGTAATAATAGCACAATCAGCGGTAAATTCATATTTCGAGCTCTAACGTTTGTCCTATGTTTAATATTTCATAAAAAAATTTCATGATGTTAATTTTTTTGTGTTGGTTTTTTTCTCAGTTACTGTGAAAGAAGAAGCTCCCACACCTGGGAACACTGATTTGGAATTAAAAGTTGCTTCAGTTGATAAGGCAGGACTCACCACAGTTGTCAGCACAACACCAAAATCTTATTCAGAGCGCTCAAGTTCTGTTCCAGGTCGAAAGAGCTCACAGAAATTGAGAACTTGGGTTGTGAAAAATGAACCACAATCAGCTCAAAGTTCTATGTATGGAACTCCAACTGACCAGTAAGTGTTTTCCTATTATTCCTGTGCATTTATGAACAAAAATCTCATTTTAACTCATGTTTCTTTGTGGGTTTTTTTTCTCAGGGATAGTGCACAGCTGGAGATAAAAGCTCAGATTGATGACGGCTCACAAATTTTACCTGCTCAAACAAAAAGGTCTAATGTGCCTAGCACTGGTCAACCTAATACTCCATCCATTTCACCTGTAGCAAAAACACCCACAAGGGTTTATTCAAGTGCTAAACCTTGTAGCCTCGTAAAGGCACCTGAGGAAGAAATAATTTCTTCAAAGGTACTCAATTCTTGGCTGTGCATTTTCCATTTCCATTGCTCAAGTGTTGCTTTAGTATTTTCATTCTTGTTCACAGAAAGTGATAAACTCAGTTCACCTCTGCCTCTTATTTTTTGAAGTTGTCTTGTTTCATTCTTGATTTTCTGACATATTACAGGGTGAGGACTCATTCTCAAACACCCCAGTATCCCAACAAGTGACTTTAAATAACATCACAATGAATGATACTTCTTATCTCCATGATCAAGATAAAGTTATGGTATTTTATTTTTCATTAATTCTTTCTGATGTAGCATATACAAAGCCTGTAAATAGATTATTGTTGACCCCTCCAATTTCAGAAAACACCATTAACCTCAAGTATATTCTTGAAACCTTTCGCCAGTGCTAGTCGGATTCCTCAACTATTCATGAATGCAGCATCACCTTTTGTAAATCGTTTTATTCCATTGACACCTTCTTTTCAAAGAAGTAATTCTTTCACGGTAAATTCCCTTGTGGGATTATTGATGGTTGATAGTGGGTGTAGGGAAATTTAGAACTGTCATTTAAATGCTTACAGGCTTCTGGTTCAACCAACATCATTTCAACGGTTCAATCCTTTTTGCCAAAGCCAGCATTAGATCATGAGGTGAACAGGTCTACAAGCAGAAAAGAGGATATCCAAAATTTGGCTGCTAAAGCTGAAGCAGCCAGGAAAAAAAAGGAAGAAATAATGAGAGCAAGAATGGAAGAAAAAACAAGGTACATAAGCATTAGCAATTTTTACTTTATTTTTTCAAAATAATATTCAAATATTTTTATACAATCTCTGTTTTAGAATACGTGAAGAGAAAAGATTAAAAGTTATAGCACAACGTGAAGCTAAAGAAAAAGAAAGGCTTGAAAATCAGAAGAAAATAGAAGAAATAAAGGAAGCAAGGCAGAAACAAATTCAAGCAGAGAGAGAGGAAAAGATTAAGCAAGAAAATCTTAAAAAGAAACAGTTGGCTGAAAGAAAAGCTGCTGAAAACGAGGAGAGAAGGCGTCAAGAAGAGGAAGCAAAACTTGCCAAGCTCAAACAGCAGGTCAGTAATCTCTCTGAGTATTCCATATAACATATAATCAATGTTGAAAATCTCTCATAGTTTTAATATTTGAATTTCAGGAGGAAGAGTTAGAACAAGCTGCTGCTGCCCGAAGGAGGGAACAAGAAGAAGCTCTCCAAAAACGAAAGGAACGCCAGCAGCAGGAACATGAAGCATCTGTACTTAGGTTAGTGTTCTTTTTGAATGTGGAGCTTGCTGTTATTGCCAACAGTAAACTGACTGTCAATAATTCTAGGGCCAAGGAAGCAGAGGCTAGGGCAAAACAAGCTCATTTAAAGTCTCAACTTGAGCAGGCCTCTGTACCTCAATCCTTAGCAAAGAAGAAGCCACATTCAAAGTCAAAGGCAAATAATTATTGTATTGATGATGCTGGCACAGATGATTCAAGTGAGGATGAAGCTAAACCTAAAAAAGCTATTCCTCTTTGGGCCCAATGTAAGTGTATTTTGGAATGATTCTATATTTTTAAAAGTCAAATGCAAAGTCAATATTATTAACAAATTGCGGACATTCTTTTATATTATTTTTATTTCTAATACTAATTCAGGGAATTTCACCTTTCCAGCTAAACAACGATTACCTAAACTTTTGGAAGATCACAATATCAGTCAATCTCAGATTTTCATGTTTTTTGGCACGAGAAAAAGTACTCCAGACTTGGGGAAAATATTCCTTGACATTGATCGCAGAAGACTGTTGCGAAAGTCAAGTGCTGTATGGCGTACTCCTCCCAAGGAAAACTCCTGAACATGGTCATGCTTTTTATATCTTCCTTTTTTAGTAAATACTCAATAGGTGACCAGTCATTAAATTTTTCTACTAGTCCATCTTAAATTTTTTTAATAAATAATTTTAAAATTGTTAATAATTGGAATAAATCTTAAGCTATGATAGGTAACTTAATCCTGTCTCCTTTTCAATAACCTTCAGTTCTAGTTCATCTGGCAGAACTTGATATTCCTGAAATTCCATGCTAAAAGAGGCAGTTCCCGATGTTAGGTATCTTAAATGTGTTGCATATCCAAGCATCTCTGCTAAAGGAACCCGAGCTTGAATAACCTTTAGAAAGCAGAAAAAAATCCATTAAAATTTTTAAAGGTAACTCAAATATTCACACCAATTTCAACGTTCATTACTCGGTTTATATGGCGATCTGCAACATTCAAAATGTCTGCACGTCGTCGAGACAAGTCTGCAGACACATCAGACTGATGTTCTTCATTCAAAACCACTTCAACGTACATTATAGGTTCCATTAAAACAGTATCAGCATTTTCAAGAGCCTGACAGAAGTAAGTTGTTGGTAATGCATAATGAGAAGTGGTCTAGTTACTTATGAATAAAGATTTGTGAAAGAATCGAAAGCAGTTTGTACCTTCCGAAGACATTGAGTGGTTGCTGAAGCAATCATTGGGGGTGATGTTCCTTTTCCAAACTTAATGTCCTGGATAAGAACTGCTGTTGCCATCAACTAAAACATAATATTCATAATTTTAATTTTAGATACATTTCAATATTGATCAGAACTCTAGTACACAATTACATGTGGTACACATACAGGGCAGTGCAGTTTTGGACCATATTTCAAGCCTTCCTTTACTCCAGTTTTGATTGCTTGCATGATTTTAATATTAGCCTTGATTCGATCAAGTTTCTGTTGTATATCTGAATCTGGTGAAGACATTCTGAGAATATCTTTCCTATTATCAAGCTTTGGTTCAATAATCAAATTAATTTCAACCAATTGCTTAGAGGAGCCTGAAAAAAAAAAAAACAACTCATTTTTCCCCAAAAAAACACAAACATACCGGTTGTTAGGTTTAAAGGATGGGAGCAGGATGGTAAAGGTACCAATGGTTTCTTGTATTGTTATTGTTTCTTCTTCTGGGCATTGAAGAGCTTCTCTATATGCAATTTGTATTGGACCCAACAAAATATCCAATTTGTATTCCGTCAGAAGGCGTTCTTTTATTATGTCTAAGTGTAGCTCTCCCATACCTATAAGTAAAATAAAATAAATTAATTCATTTTTAACTTTTGCCCCATTACAAAAAAAAACTACTGCCTTGCACACTTCAAGCACTCATAAGACATGTCAACCAAACAAACTTAAGAACGTACCTCCTAGAATAATTTGTGATGTTTCTTCATTAAATGTTACAGTAAGGCTAGGATCCTCTCGCGCAAGTTTCCCCAGGGCTTTATCCAAAGCAACCTGTTGTGACTGTAATCTAAATGTAAATTAAAAAAGTCTGACAGAAGTAAATGTTCAATCTAAAAATTGTACCTGTGATGGAGCCTCAACAGAACAGAAAAACACAGGATCAGGTACAACAGCACCAACTCCTAATTGATTTTGGGCATCATTTTCAGTAACGCCTTTAATTATTGCCAGTCGTTTGTAAGCCTTTTGAGCTGTACTCTGACTGTAAGTGACCAAATCCCCAGCTCTGGTTTCCTGCACAAGTGAAGGAAGTACCTAAAAAATAATTGATACACATGGTAGGTGACAAATTCTTAAAGCAAAAAAATTACTTGCATTCAGTCCAGAAACAACAGCAATATTGCCTGCAGACACAGATGCTACTTGTTCAAAGTCATCAGCAGTAGCAACCATCACGTTCACGCACTTTTCTGGTATTTGTAGACGCAGATTAAACACCTTGTCTTTCTGTAAAATGTAAATAATTAGGTTTCAAAAAAAAAAAAAAGAAGAAGAAAAAGAGGACTGGTACTTAATAAGCAGTAATACAAAATATTGGGAATAAGTAACTGAACTACACCAACTTTGATAATTTCTCCAGAGTACAATCTTAGGAAGACTAGAGGGCCAAATTGGTTATGGTGAATTACTTTGAAGGCATGGGCACAAAGATCATCATTAAAGGCTTCTTGAAATATTTTATTTGAGCGTTCAAGAGGAGATGGAAGGTACCTCACAACCGCATCCATCAAAGGTTGGATACCTTTATTCTTGTAGGAACTACCACATAAAAGTGGAACACCTTTCTGAAATTCTCAAAATAATCCAATCAGTGACACTTGGAGAGAGAATACAAAAATAGCTTGTATTATTATGAACTAAAAGAATAGCATGCCTTGTCTTGACATATATTTTAGAAACTGAGGCCCTTTAGCTACTTACACATAAAATAGTTGCTTTTCTCAGAGCAGAGGAAAGTGCAGAGGCAGATATGCTTGACAAACTGTCATTAGCAATAATTTCTTCAGCTAAGCTGTCGTCAATACTTGACAAGGTGTCAATTAAATCTTCTCTGGACTTGACAGCACTTTCCCACAGTTTGCCATCTGAGGATTCCTCCAAGGGTAATTCATGTAACTGTTCTATTCCTCCTGAGTCTTCTATCCATAAATGTTTTTTTAGGTGAAGCAGATCAACAACACCTAAAAACTTTTCCTCTGAAAAACAGAGTACAATCACATAATTGAGTAAAAACTAGGATGTCTGGAAAAGAGAGTACTGGCAAATGTTAAACAGCTGGTGAACCTACTTTTGTCTTTAATGGGAAGCTGGACAGCAAATATCTCAACCCCAAGTTTTTTACGTAATGTGTCAACACACAGTGGCATACTTGCATCCAATCTATCCATTTTATTTGCATACACTATACGAGGGATTGTTTTTTTATCAGCCTGACGCCATACAGTTTGAGTTTGAGCTTCAACACCTGGAGAAGATACACATGAGCGAAAAACAGCAATTTTTATTGCAAATTTGTCCCCAGCCATACATAAATATCAAGGACTATCTAAAAAGCTATGAGATTTAATAGATAATTATTTTTGCTCTCTCATCCAGAAACATGGCATCAATAATTTTCTTCAAATTTACAGGGTGTCCCATGAGCCACTAAGTAATTGTTTGATATACAGTACCAAACGCAGGTATGTTGACGGGCTTGCCTACTGTCATTCCCAATGGCCTGGAACACCCTGTACGTCTTAGTTAAGAGAAGGGGACCAAAAATAAGCTATAACAATGTTTTTCAAAGGTTCTGTGTTCTATGCCGAAATTGACATGGTACTGGCTGTGGTAGAAGTCCAGGGCATTTCATTCGTCTCTCTTTCCATACATGACATAAAGGTAGAGTAAAATATACAAACCAGCTGATGAATCAAGAATTACGACACATCCATCTGTGACATTTAATGCATTCTCTACTTCCATTGTAAAGTCAATGTGGCCTGGTGTATCAATCAGATTAATTTGATGATCTCTCCAGGGGAAAGAAACTGAAGCTGAAGTTATAGTAATTCCTGTCGGTAGAAGGATAAGTAATTTTAATGTGCATTTAGGAAATACACAGGGTAAGCAAAAATTTTGAAACAGACCTCTATTGCGTTCCTGCTCCATATAATCCGTAACTGTAGTACCATGATGAACTTCCCCCATGCTGCTTATCTTGCCCGAAAAGTACAACATCCTCTCGGTTGTAGTTGTTTTCCCTGCAATGTTATAGAAAGTTGTTTTAAGCTGTAGAGAATAAGATGAAAAGAAAAAATGTAAAATCCCTGACCAGCATCGATGTGGGCTAATATTCCAATATTGCGAATCCTCTGTAGAACTTCATGTTTTGAGGATGCTTCACGACATGACTGCCTGTATGTTGGAGCCATTAAATTTCTGAAATGCCTTCGATAATGTAGTACCTGAAAATCGTTATAAAACATAATACATTACAATTACAGAGGTAAAGCAAAGAGAATGTAAGACACTTGGATGATTGGGTAACCTAACACAAACTGCTTCAATTGAGAATTTATAAAGTTTAGCAGCAAAGTCATGAGATGAAACATACCTTACAAAACGTAAAACTTATTTGAGAAGCCATGATTCGGTCAACGTAACTGTCTAGGGTTTTTATAAAACGGGATGCTAAAATACTTCTTACTTAAACATGCTTCAACTTGAACTAAATAACTTTTCACAGCGCTTTCTGCTTGGTACCATCTCTCCATTCTGCCAACCTATTTACACTACATTCAAAAGATATACAGTATCAATTTTTGCCAAATTCCTTAAATTTTACTATTTTATTATTAAAATTTTAGGAAAAAAAAATTGATGTCGAGCATTTAGTAATCTGGACTATAACATCATTTGTTAAAGGTCTATATTTAAGGTGTTAGGCTGCTGAGACTGCCTCCAACTACCGTCGTTTGTTTGTTATGTTTTGCTTTGCGTTGCTTCTGGTTTTGTGATAACGAGTTTTTGAAGACTTGCTTTGAAAGCCGCTAATGGTAATCCTCAAGTACTCTCACTTTGCAAGCAATGATTTGATCTTGGCATGTAAGTAGCTGTTGCTCAATTACTCCTTTCATCGTAACCTGTTACTGTTATACTATGCACGCACTTGAATTGATGTTAACCCAGGACGGCTGGTAGCTGACAATTTAACCTCTATGTTTACAGCTGATACTCTATTTACACAATGGAAGTGATCCAAATCGATGGTGATGAAACTGTGCCAGGTAAAGCAAGTCCTGGTACTGCATCAACATCTGAGAACCACATTATCATTGAAACAGTTGAGTTGAAGACTCTGATTCAAGATGATGAAGAGACAACCTTAGAAGTAGTAACTGTGCTGGACGATGGAGTAACTCTTTCTGAATTACCAAGACGCTCTGGCAAAAGAGTACCTAAACTTCCTGCGGAAGCTGTTTCAAATTCTCTCAAAGATCTGGTTGCACTCAAACTTTTGGGCTACAAGTGTAATATTTGTAATGCGGAATTTTCTTCGAAGCAGAATATACTGAGACATTGTGATGCTCATGGTGATCTTGATGCATTTTCTGCTGTTCTTGGGCCTAGTGAAGATTTAGCTGCAGAATTTCCTAAACCTTCTAAGAAGCCCAAAATAATAAAGAAGACATCCAAAGAGTCTGCTTTCAAACCTAAAAAACTGTCTGAGCAACTTGCCATTCTGAAGTCCAAGGCTGAAGAGACAGCCAATGAAAGTTTCATTGAGGCTAAAGAACCTACAGGTGATTCTGTTGAGAAAGAAAATCTAAGTGAATCTGCCAGTGAAAGTAAGGAAACCGGTAGTGAGTCCACTAATGAGTCTAAAGAAGGTGAAGGGACAGCTAAGAGGCGACGTAAACTATACTGCAACATATGTAAAGTAGATTATCCGTCAGGTGAAGCATTATACAACCATTTTAAGGATGATCATGATATTGACAACCCTTACTTGAGGGGCAATATTTCCAATTCTAATGAACCACGCAGCTATGACTGCAAAGACTGCAATGCAACTTTTAGCACCAGCAGTGCCTTATGCAGACATCGTAAGAACACACATTTATCACATGGGCCAGTGTCTGGAATCTGCCATCATTGCGGAAACTCATTCCGTCTTTCTACATTACCATGTCATGAAAAGATTTGTGGCAGCAGGCGATGGCCAAGGAGAAGACAAGATTGTTCGTTTGAGGACTGTAAAGCATCATACTTCAAGAAAGAAGAACTTATCAAGCACATGAAAGAGGAACACAAAGTACCCCTTGAACCCATGCGGACCATTAGATTTGAGAACAAAGAAGAATTCTTTAGGTGGAAAGAAGAGGAAGAAGATCGTACATTTTCTTTTTATACTAAACATGCTGGCACTAAAAGAAATATTATGACATACTACTGTCAACATGAGGGAAGTGAGAGGAGCCACAAAGGGGGTGGTAAAGATGCAGATGGTAATGAAAAGTTGAAAAAAATTAATAAGAAAGGAAGAATTAAGACAGGAAATGTCTGTACTTCATATTTGCGAGCCAAAATTACAGCCACTGAGGTGATAGCCTATTATTATCCCTCACATAGTCATCCAATATCCCCTGAAGATGTAAAGCATCAACCTTTGTCGAAGGAAATTATCCAGTTTATCAAAGAGCAAATAGCACTAAACGTTCCAGCCCGACAAATTCAAACTATGGTGAAGAAAAGACTCTCAGAGACTCGTAGCTGCCGTAGAGATGCCCAAATTTCATTGAAAAGAATTAATTCATTTGCACAGAGATACAATCGACTTAATGATAAGGTACTCAATGTTGCAGTTGATTCGTTTAATTCGTTCATTGATGCCCTTTGCTCTCAAGATGATTCTCCCGTGCTGTTCTATCAACCCCCCAGTGACAATGCCCGATTGGATGTGCCAAATGAAGAAGATCACCTATTTTTTCTGGGACTTCAAACAGCAGATCAGCAAAGAATGCTACAAAGAGAAACAGCTATGCCTATGTTCATTAGTGTTACAAAGACAGACTATACTTTACAATATTATTTGATCTCAATTTTAGTGACCTGTGAAAATAATTTTGAATATCCCGTAGGCCATCTTATTAGTAGTCAACTGAATGAAGATGTTGTCAGTCTGTTTCTTCAGAACATTGGTGAAAGGTGTCCTGATCTCAATGTAAATTGTATAATTTCCTGCGACTGCCCAGAAATAAATGGTGCTATCAGGAAAGTGTTTGGGGCTGATGGGCCTTACTTCCTTAGCAAATGGCATTTTCTTGAGTATATGAGAAAAGACTTCTTCAAATCAGTGCCCTCGAATAAGGTTGAAGAACTTTTTGATTTTGTTTTGGCTATGTCAGATGCTGAAAGTGAAGAGAGATTCCTTTTTCTGTATAATTCTTTCAAGGAGCAGTATGAATCAGCCTTCCCTGATATTGTTTCAAATTTTGGTGAATATTTTGTGAGAGCAGCAACATGGGCTAGTTGTTATCGCCAGGAGCAGGGAATGGTTGATAGTTGCTTGTATGCCGATTCCTTCTTCAATAAGTATAATAAGAAGTATAGAAGAAGACCACTGAAGTCTATAAATCTGTTGCCAGACTTACTACTGTATTTACAAGAAGGCTACAGAGACTCTAGAGACAAGGAAGAAGATGCACCTGATGGCGCTGAGTTCATGAAAGATCAACATAATATGGGTATAGAAATACCATCAGATCTGATACAAGAAACGTTGTCCCGCCACTGGACTGTACAGGCATCAAAGCATGGCCAGACATTCATTGTTATGCAGTGTCTTTCTAAGTGCTTGGACAGAACTTGTTCCCTTCGATGCAATGACTGTGTAAACTTATGTAGTCACATGTATTTCTGTACCTGTGGTAAAACTGAATACATTTGCTTACATATTCACAAAGTATTTCAACTGCATGGACCCATGCAGCCTGAGACAGAAGATGGGTGTGAAGAGTCAGGCACATTTTTTTTGGAACAAGATGAAATTGGAGAGCAAGATGAGGCCATGGAGGATGAGGAGACTATGGAGCAAGACGTGAAGCCTGAAGCAATAGTGATTAGTGTTGCAACCCCAGAAGTTGCTGAAAAGGCTGTTGAATTGATTGACACTGAGGCAAAGAGAGAAAATACTTTGAAAAATTTAGACTTATTGCGTCAAATTGTAGATCAGCGATGTTTGCCTGAGGAAATTGTGCATGTAATTAATGACACTGTAGAGGGTCTCTGTAATCTGATTGACAGTTCTTGATAATGTAAAAATTGTAATGTAAGAATACAATTGTAATGAATGAATTGTAATTGTAAGGTATTTTCATTATTGATTTATAAATTGATGTGTACTGTATTGTTTCTAGAATTATTTCCTGGTGTACTTATTCACACTCGTTCATACTACTAAAAACTATCAAATTACACAACATCATTTTAAATTCGTCCACAAAATTCAAAATTCCTAAGGATTGTCCTTTGAAATGTGCTATAATTAGCAATATTATACTAAAAATTCTACCCTATCCGACCGAATAATGTTAATCAAAAATGAAAGCATGATAAAACAACGAGTATGACATATATCCAAAGTCAGAATTTTGGCAATAGAAGGTCGATGCAGGTTTTGACTCGTGCAGGAATTAACCGTCGGTCCGGGGGGTGGGGGGGGGGGGTACATGCTATTATGAGACTCAACGTGTTAAGAGGAGCTGGTGGTCTGTCGATTTACACATAAAGAAGGTGCCCACATTTTCGACTCAATAAATTAATGCGCCTTCTTGCTTAAAATGCGCTTGATTGAATGCGCCAGACATTTTGGAGGTTTTGCATGACATTACAGCTACATGAAATGCAGTCTGCTGGTCTGCCAACGACTAAGAGATTGTCATCGTACGGGGTTGATGCGGACGGGTCTGAACGTTCCCAGCCCAGGACTACGCACTGTCAAAAGTAGTGCCTATCTTGTAGTTTGAGCTTACAGGAGGGACCCCTCCCCCCCCTCTGGTAGGGCAGGGAGGGGCCGCCGTACCACGACACGGTACGGGTGTCAGGGGCACCCCTTCGCCCCCCCTCCGGCCGGGCCGGGCGGACACCGGCCCGACCTCGCCCTCCCTCCCCCACTGCGCACCACTCGCACCCGCTCCGCTCAGTTCCCTCGCGACCACCGGAGGTCTCGGCTCGGCTGCTGCGCACTGCGCCCCTCTGCCTCGTGTTTGCGCGGGCGTCGCCGTCGTCGCGGGTCGTGCGTAGCGACGTCGCACCGCCGCCGCGGCGCCCCCCTCCTCCGGCGCGCCGGGTCCGGTCGGCGTGGCCGCGCCCCCCGCCGGCTCCGCTGTCGTCGCGCCCGCCCTCCCGGCCAGCCCTCGTGGCCCGCCCCCGCGGCCCGCCCCCGCACCGCCGGCTCCGCTGTCCTCGAGTGCGTGTCGCGCCCCCCCGGCGTGCCTGTGCCGAGGGCGCCGTGGCCTCGCGCGGGCCCGACGGACTCCTCCCCGGCCCAGCGCTGCCCGCCCCGCCGCCGCCGTCGCCGTGCCCATGGATTATCGGATGTACGCCTTGGCTCCGCCTCGCCCCCGCGCCGCTCTATGAGGTGAGCCCGGGTGCAGGAAAGCCGGGCGCTTGTCAGCCCGCCTCTCCCCGCCCCGCCCCTCCCCGCCCGCGGCTGGGCGCGCCAAGGTCTCAGCCGAGATGTAGGAAGCCGCACTGATCAGGCTGCCGTAACAGCAACGGTGTCGCTGGTGCGGATGGAATCGGCTCGCCACAAGGGATGTCGATTCGAGGCCGCATCGGGGAATCGCGCATTGTTTTGGCGGCATCTGAATCGGTGCCGAGGTCTCCCCCCTCGCCCCTCGCTCTGTTGCTATGTATGATATGCAAGCTATGCATGAACGACCATACCGACCCTTTCTATGTATTCTCCAGGGAGTATTTGCTGGGGTCCACTTTATATTTCTCTTCACTGTGCTCAACTCGTTGGCGTGTATATGCTTATCCCTCTTCTAGTTGTTTATTAAAAATGATTATTAACTGTGACGCTCCCCAGTCAGAAATTTTTTCGACGACATCGTTTTGGTTTTCACGTCGTTAGCGATACTATAGTGGGGCTGGAATCGACGGCTTTTCGACAAACGACTTCGTTTCGATGCCCTTTCGATGGCGTCTCGACGTCGTTTGTCGAAAAGCCGTCGATTCTAGCCCCACTGTACTCGCTAACGACGTGAAAACCGAAACGATATCGTCGGAAAAATTTCTGACTGGGCGTCTCGTGCGTTCAAAAATGGTATACCTCTGGAGCATTTCTCAATAAGGGATGTCCGACAGGTCACTTTATTTCCAGAAATGCGTTTTTATTTAGATTCAAACAAATTTTGTAACATAGTATACTATATTTAATTTATTGTGGAAATAACGTGCATCACCTGTCCTGTGTCACAGATTGTCTCTTCCCGGACATTTCTTAAATGAATTTTGCACTGATAAACTAAGTGTTCAACTGCTCAACACTTGTAAGTGTGCAACTGCAAGTTGGATACTTGCAAGTGTACAACTCCACAGTCGTACACTTGCAAGTGTTCAACTTGGAAAGTGTGCACTTGCAAGTGTGCAACTCTTTGGTTGAACACATCCTTGAACTGAACGCACACTGTGTAGGAGGTGCTCATTCGAGGAGTTGCACACATGCAAGTGCACACCTACCGAGTTGCACACTTGCAAGTATTCAACTTGTAGCTGCACACTTGAAAGTATTTTACTTGCGGTTTCACAGTTACAAGTGTTGAGCAGTTGAAACACTTATCAGTGTGGGATTTTCTGAATCCCCAAAAGAGGGAATTAAGTGACCAAACGGAAGTAGCATTTTGTTTGGAGAAATCCTCATGGTACTTGCAACATGCCCCCTCCGGCTTCATTAGCTAATGCTAGGCACCGCGGCTCTCCCTTAGGTAATGTGAGGCACCGTTCCCCACATTAGTTAAAGTATAACAGTTTAGTCTATAGGTTAGTGTGTAATTTATTGGCTCTGTGAGCTCTGTGACCCTGACGAGACGTGTGCAAGTAGAAGATAGATTGCCGTGTTCCCCTCACTGCAAAACCTTTTTTTTTTTTTTTTACATGAATGAGAGAGCAGATTCGGGAGCGGGCTCGAGCGGGCTTTTCTATATTGTAGAATTGAATAACCTTTCGGTCTATGCACAGTCAACACACTTGGGATAAGGAGTGATTCATAGTCATGCCTTCGCGAGGAGGCCTAGGCAACTGTGCACTTCTCAAAGTGAGAACCACTTGCGACGAACTGGGAATGCCCTCGACCCTGATGGGTCACCAGAGGACGAAT